CCAGTTTTTGCAAGTGCTTTACACTTATTCTAGATTGCACGCATGACAGTTCGCATTTATGTCTGTTCGCACTTACGCCATTTGCACTTATGCCAGATTGCACTTATGAAATTCGCACTTATTCAGTCGTCTCTTTTTGAAGAACCTCAATAGCTAAATATAAGTAAATACAAAATTTAAATTACTGGCGACTGAAAAGAAAGAAGGGTTGTCCTGCCAAAATTTTGGGTGTAGCGCAGTTACTTTTACCGCTTAGGTCTCCCTGTTGACTTAAAACGCCACAGAACATATGAGCATAATAAAAGCATTCTAAAAACATGTATTTTTTTGCGCTCAACACTTTTTATTTGATACCTTGCTAATGAAAAGAACGATCTTAGTTTTCTAAAAATGTTTGTTATCAACTTTGCAGTTTTGTATACTTTGGGTGACCAATCCTTTGATTGAATCTTTTCGATTAAGTACTTCAGAGATTATTTATTAATTTAATTGCGTGTACTGTAGACATTAAATGAGGCTTTTTTCAGTTTATTTAAATACTTGATGTGAACCAGGAAATATAGAAAAAAAAATTCTAAAAAAGTTTTGAACTGTTTAATGAAACAAAAAATGAAAAAATTAATTTTTCACTTTCATTTGCAATGTTTCAAAATGTTTTGATTTGTTTAAGATTGCTCAAAAAAGCTTTGAATGCTTAAAAGTATTCCTACAAGTGGCTAATTGTTGGCGGGATTCTTAAAAAGAAATCTAGCGTCAATGTTGCGCCGAGTACAAGGATTATTTTTGTATAAGGTTCATTCTTACATGAGTTTGAGGCAGACATAAAGTATCGGTCAACTTGGTAAAAGCCGTTATACTTAAAATGAATTTTATATGCAAGCATTTAGGTGCAGATTATCTAAATACATTAATAACAAAGTTAATAATGTATTTAGATATCTCTATCTTTATCGTGACATATTCGCAACAAATCTCTTCCGCTGTTTTAATGTTTTTAGAAATTTAAGGCTTTTTAAAAACTTTCTCCCTTTGTTCGCTATAATATATATTATTTTTAAATATGTTATGTTTTTAATATTTATAGAACTTCAAAAATGTTTTATTTTGGGTTTTGAAAAATAAAAAAAGATAAAAAAAAAAAAGTGTTTTGCCCAAGGATTTGAACCAAGGCAATTCAAATCGAAAGCGCAGCAAGCTAACCACTTCGACCACTGAGGCGTAATGAACAAAAAATGTTTTATCTCTATTTAATAAACAAAAAACATATAGAATGCCAAATAAATGCTTTAAATCAAAATTAAGGAGAAGTATAAATCAAAATTAAGGAGATAATGAAAATAAATGCTTTAAATCAAAATTAAGGAGATAATGGCGCAAAGTAATTTTCAAGTAAAAGTAAAACTTGATATATGTTTTAACATTTTATAATTTGAAGTTTACATAAATTATTTACATACACATTTGTTTAAATTTTCTTATAAAAAGTGCTGCGATTTTTTCTTGCCAAAAAACCCGGGTTTAATGGCTGCCACGAGTTCTGTGTCAAACACTCACAAATGAGCATTGTTATGTTGAGCTATATATGAATCGCTAACTTGAAAAAGGGGAAATATAATAAAAGATAGAGATGTTTTAACGATATAGGAGAAAGCGGGGCAACATGGTGAACGTTTTAAAAGCCCCGAGTTATTGGAAAAACTTTTTTTACTGTAGAAACAGAACATGTCCCGGACATATATTCTTTTTACAGTACACGATATTTTCACCTTGCCGATTAATTCGTCTAAATATGAACGAGAGGTTTTCTTTTTGGTCTAAACATGCGCTTATATAAACATTTTAGGGGAAAGCGGGGCAACATGGCGAATGGGGCAAGATGGGTTTTCATATAATAACTCAACAAAAAATCTTGAAACTGGGTGAAAACAAAACTGTATTTTCATCTTGTATTTTAAAACACCAATTGGTTTTTTGAAATATTATTAACGCAATTTTATACGCATTACTTTTTGGAAGTTTACTTTTTGCGCTTAAAAAAAAATTCCTCACTTTCGGTTTCTCATAATGAATAGTGTTCTTCAAGTTTAACTTCTTTATAAACAATTTTTTACGATTTGTGTTTCTTTAGTTAGAGTTATTGGTAGTTTTTAAGATTTTATAAAATTGGAGGTAAAAATTGCATTGTAAGTCATCTTGCCCCAGTCACGTGACCAGTTGATAAATTTATGAACTTTTTATTTTAATATTTATTCCAAAATGTTATAGTTGCAAACTGAAAATTCATGCTGACAATGAATCATTTTAATAACATAAACATACTGAGAAAGTATTACGGTTTCACAACTGATAGTTTTGCAATAACTCGGAGCTTTCAAAACGTTCGCCATGTTGCCCCGCTTTCCCCTACGAAATTTATAGAGCAAAATATCCTGATAATTGTAACTTTTCTTATAAATTTTTTTGAAATTATTTTGATGAAAATTTTGACTTGAGATTCGGAAGGCCAGCAAAGGAGTGCTGTGCTCAGTGTGAAGAACTTAATTCAAAAATTAAAAGCAGTACTCTTAATGAGAATGCTAAAAGAGCAGCTGTAGCCGAATTACTCGTGCACAAATATAAATCTCTGATTCTTCAATCATCAAAGTGCCATAAGTTTAAACTATCAGGAATTTGATTTAAGCAATATCATTGAACATAAACAATGGTGGTCTAATTACTATAAAAAGCAGACTTTTAGTAATGACTCAAATGGTAGGTCAACTACCTAAAACAAAGTTTGCAACGTCTTTCCAATAATTTTACATACACTATCAAACACCACGTGAGGTTACATGTAGGTAATTCATTGCAAGTAGTGAATTAAAAAAAAAATAAATTGCTACTGCGTCTCAAAATAAGGAAGATGCAAAAAAGATACGAAAAAAAACTTTTGAAAACACGTCAGCCATCTAAAATAAGCAAAAAAAAAAAAAAAAAGATTTCGATAGAAGAGCCCGTTTGTTCATGTTATTGTTGTGGTGTTGATTGGGTTAGTTTTTCTTTATTTTGTATTTATCCGGAATTAGGTTCACTGTACCTCGAATTCCGGATAAAAATAATTTTTTTAAAAAGTTAAATTTTTTGAACTTTTTAAATTAAAATGATAATGTTTTTTATATCGTACAATTCTTCTTGTCGTAATACATATTTTAGTGTTTTTATTTTTTCGAAACTCGTGAGTTATTTAATATATTTTTTAAAACCCTAACCCTGACGTCCTGGTTTTTACGGTATTCAACTGACTTAGCGGAATGAAAGTTTGCAGCTTCCCACGCGTGTATTAATTTTTTTTGTTAAATCAAATTTATTTTTACATAAATATTTAGTTATTTAAGGTGGAAGTTCAAGTTTAAAAAATTATAAAATTTGAATCTTATCTCTGCATCCCTTAGTGATAAGTTTAATAGAAATTTGCTATAAAATCTTTAGTAAGTTTTTCTTTTATAAATGAAGTTAAATGAATAAAATAAGTGAACTTTTATTTTATTCTATTTTTTCATACTCTCTTTTATTAATTTTTTTTTCTTTATTTATAAAATTTAAAACCAGTAAATTTAAATATAAAATTGTTTAAATAAATTTATATCGAAATAAATATAGTTTTAATAATTAAATTACTTTTATTGCTATTATTAGTATTATTGTTATTATTGCTATTATTATTATTATTATTATTATTATTATTATTATTATTATTATTATTATTGTTATTATTATTTTTATTAAGTTATCATAAATCATATATATCAAGCAATTGTTGTTTTCAAGTTTACCGATAAAGTGCTTAAAATATATCAGGGTGAAAACCCTTAATAATATTATCTGAATATAGAAGAATTCAGAGTAAAACTTGAATAAATAAATTTTTTATCAACTCACTTATCAATTTCTATTATAACGTTCCTGGCATTTTTTTGTTACAAAATTTTAAAGGATTTTGGAATAAACAACTCCCTATTTAAAATGTTCTATAGGATCCTATGGCATACATAAGATCATATATTGCCTTGGGATTTTATTCAAGTAAGAATAAAACAAAAAATCCATAGTTTAAGAATTATATTCAAATACAGTCAATATTTATTATATTTTGACCGCATTTAAATTTGTTCTCTTGAAATTGACCATATGAAATGTGTAAGAATCCATATTTTAAAACTGCTGTTACTAGTTCTATGATAACTATGTTAGGTTTTTACCGTCTCAAGTTTATCAAATAACTTCTTAAAATTGACATTCAATAACTGTTCCCTGAGATTTTTCCATGCCTTAATTGTCTGTTGAGTAAAGATATTAAATTTCGTTGTGGTTGAAACACCTCTTTGGATGATCTTTTAATTATGGGAGTTATTTTTCTTATTTGCTTTTTCTTTAGTATGGTGCCAATAATTGATAGGCTTGTGTTGCCCTGAATGTCTCTTTAATATTGTCAATTTAAATATTTTGCTAGTACATTGATTTATAATTTCAGTTACATTATATTATAATATTTTACATTGATATCATCTAAATCAGATATATTTAACACATATAGAAACAGTCCAGGGATTTCGGCTTTTTAACAATAATATTTTATAATACATTTAGCAGCACACTAAGTATGTATATATATGTATGTGTGTGTGTGTGTGTGTGTGTGTGTGTGTGTGTGTGTGTGTGTGTGTGTGTGTGTGTGTGTGTGTGTGTGTGTGAAACAAAAATTCTTTGCGAAATCTTTTTTCTCACCCCCTAAATGTGTACTAAAGCAAAAACAACATTTTTGTTTTTGCTTTAGTACACATTTTTTTACACATAGTACAACAAATTTTTTTGTAGAAATTTTTAAAAGACAAATAAATATAAGATGCCTTTTTAAAACATAAAATAACATAAAACTTTTTGTTTTATGTTAAAAATAAAACTAAGATGTTACTTTGTATATAAAATGATTATTAAATTTTTTGAGTTTAATTTTATTTTAGTTCAATTAAAATGGGGACATTAATAAAATTTTGTGATACTCAATTATTAAATGCTTGTGGTAAATATTATTTGCTTCATTTGCGCAATTTTGCAGGAAAAAAGGTATGTGTTTGGTAATTTTTTTTTTAACATGCAATTTCTCAAATGATGAAAAACATAAAGTTAAAATCTAATAACTTTTCTCTAAGTTTAACAAAGGGCCTTCCATAAAGGATGTCATGCTAATAGAGGATGGAGGGGGTTTAGATAAAATGGACAAGGGTGAGAAAAAGGACATCATGTTTCAGAGTTTTTTTATTTTAGTTTTAATTAGAGGTGTACCGGATATTTTTGCCGGATATGCTGGATATTGAACTTTTCTAAAGTTCTATAAGTGTTTATGAAGAAAAAACAAGTCTTGCCATTCTACATTAAATAATGTTTAAGATTTAAAAAAGTAAAATCAAGAAAAAACTGGTATAACACAGGTATATGCGTTAATAATGTATAAGGAAAAATCGTTTTTACAGACAAAATTTTGTTTTTTAAAGTTACTATTTTCTATACTTCGTCAGCACATATATCATGTCATACAGTTTTTCTCTTGATTTTTTAAAGTAAGATCTTGAATGCTATTTATTGTAGACTGGCAAGACATTTTTTCTTCATAAACACTTATAGAACTTTAGTTTTAATAACATGGAAAACTATGTAAACATGTATTTTTATGAAGTCAACATTAGGGAACGTAATGTTTTTATTTATCGAAAAAGAATTGTGTTAATATTTGTTTAAATTTTATTTTCATGCATATATATATATATATATATATATATATATATATATATATATATATATATATATATATATATATATATATATATGTATATATATATATATATATATATATATATATATATATATATATATATATATATATATATATATATATATATATATATATATATATATATATATATTAGGGTATGAATTTTTGACTTTTTAAAAAAAATTAATTTCATGTGTCATAAATTGATGAACTTTTATTAGAAATTATTGAAAACATGTTCAGTTCCTCTCTGTTGTAAAAAAAGTTAACCCTGCAATTCAAATTACATTTTGTAATAAACCTGTAATTTAAATTATACCCTGCAATTCAAAATACATTTTGTAAAAAAAGTTCACCCTGCAATTCAAATTATATTTTGATATTTATTTAATTTTGTTACTGCTACTACTAATGTGTCTGGCTTTCCTGCAAATCATTTAAAACTTGTATAGATTAGAAGTGTTTAGAACTTTAGAACATTTTGGAAAATAACAGAATATCTTAGAAGACTTTAGAACATTCTAGAACAATTTAAAATATTTTGAAACATTCTAGAACAATTTAGATCATTCTGAAATATTCTAGAACATTTTTAGACTATATATAGCTGCTTATCTAATTTTATAGTTATTACATAGAAGCAACACATGGCGTCGTATAAGCTTAGCGATAGTAGCATTCAGAACAAGGATGTCTGGACCAATAATCTGGTAAAGTTTGAAGACTCATAAAAGAAGAATGGTCCTTTTGGAAGAATATTCACTGGAAGAAAAGTGCAAAATGCTTCTCCAAAAGCCAATTAAAAAAGCTAATTTTATAGTTATTACATAGAAGCAACATATGGCATCGTATAAGCCTAGCGATAGTAGCATTCAGAAGAACAAGGATGTCTGGAACAATAATCTGGTAAATTTTGAAGACTCATAAAAGAAGAATGGTCCCTTTGGAAGAATATTCACTGGAAGAAAAGTGCAGAATGCTTCTCCAAAAGCAAATTATTGGACGCTACCATTTACTTGGAATAGCGGAAATTTCCAAAGAAATCATCAAATTGTGGAAGAATAAACTGAATTTTCCTCATATATCTGATCCAGTTATATGAGCAAAGCTTGATAAAATTCTGAAATGTTATGATAAATGTGTCAAGTGGGGAAGCTACGAACCCCTTGATGAAATTTTTGATATTACTAAAGTGGATGGAACATGATTATCTTCTGAGGACAAGCGATTGTACCATTTCCAAGTGGAAAGCAAAAGAACAGTGGGATACTCTACAAGCCAAGCGGCCAGTAAAAAAATGATCCATCCCTCTAAAAGACAAAAACTTTCTAATGAGTCATCCAACTCATCATCTTACTATCCTGGTTTTAGTGATTCTGACTGAGGCTGACGACAGTGAATATGAAAACAATGAAGAAGATTAGACAACTCCTACACCAAGCAGAAAACATCATAAAAGTAAATTTGTAGTCAACTTGGTGACCTCCACAAGAGTATCAACAAACAAAGCTGCTAACATTTGCAAGCAATTGGCTCATGAAGGCATTGACATCCCAATTCCATGTCAATCAGCTATTTACAAGTCAATCAATCAAAGAGGTAATCAAGCTGAAGGAAGAAATGAATGAAAGGTTGCATATGGAAAGTTGGTCCTTACACTTTGATGGCAAGCACATCAACAGAATGGATTATCAAGTGGTTTCCTTAAAAATGAAAGAAGAGAAATCAAATTGGATTTCCTTGGCTTGGTAGATGGCAGGGTTTTAACTATTGCTCAAGGAATTTCTAAAGTCCTAGATGAATTTCACCTATTGAATTCAATACAGATGGTTGTTGCAGATACCACCAGCGTTAACACTCGAAAAAAGAATGGTGTTGTTGTAATATTGCAACGAATGTTCACAGAGAAATGCATCAAACCTCAGTTTATCGCTTGTCAACACCATGTATTAGATAGAATCCTCTGTTTGGTGATAGATGAAGAACTTGGAAGTAAAACAAAATCACCAAACATCGAACATTCATTTGTATCTCAACTGTTGAAGGAGTACGAACAACTGAAAACACATTTTGATAACGGAACAGAAGTAGTTCTCAAAACAACAGGCTGGAGAGATGATATGAAGTTTTTGTTTTGTCTTACTCAGGTGTTCCCATTTTTTGAGGAAAAGGGACATTTTTGATTGATCAGGTTTCAGAAAATACCCAACATCAGCAATGCAAGGTGGAACTCCAGAGCTATACTAGCAAACCTGGCCTTCATTTTAATTCCTCTAACAAAGACAGTTCTGCAGAGAGCATGATGATTTATGTCGTATGGCTGGGCAGACTATTGGTTTACAGACCAACTGTACAACGAAAACGACTTAAATAACTTGGCTGAAATACTGAATCCATACAAAAAGGCTTTTAGATCTTTGAAAAATCACTGGAAGCGAGAGCCATCCATACTACAAATACCAAGAAGTAATCAATGTGCAGAGCGCACAATCAAAGTAATGGAAGAAATTTATTCATCATGCAAAAATAAAGACAGATTGCACCTTCCATTCCTTCTGTGCAACAAGCAAGAGCAAGGTCAACGGTCGGAGTGATTTTTGGATTGAAAATTTATTGTATTACATGACTATGACATTCTAAATACATTTGAATACATAGTAGCAGGCCTTGTTACGAGATTTCGCTGCGTAACGGAAAAGCTAAACGTGAATAAATGTAACTTTACTCAAAGATATTTACATTGTTAAAAGTTAATTTACGTCAGTTGCGTTTTTACTTAATTGTAATTAAATTTAAAATGACATTAAAAACTATTGTTAGTCTTTGAAACGAAATAGCTTTAAATTGTACAATGTTGTTATAAAAAAAAAAATTCAGTGTTGGTTAAAAAAAAGTCTTCTTGTATTAAAATCTTATACTTATTTAAACTTAATTTTTTTGCTTTTAAACATTCGTTTTAAGGTTGTTTTTTTTTTTTATTTTTTTTTTAAATAATTTAAATTTAACACTTGTTTATGGTTGATTTTCTTAAAGGGATTTAAATGTACTTATAACTAAACGCATAGATTGGGTTTTCCCTTTTAAAAAAAAACGTTTGTTTTGATAAAATAAATGTTGTAAAGAAACAGGCTTGGTCGGGAAGCGGGAGCGATCGCTCTCGATTGCTGACCACGTAAATAATATTTAGTTGCGCAAAGCTGGCCAGATTTTTTAGTCGTTTTGAGAACATTTTAAAAAGCAAAAAAAAAAAAGCGACGAAGATTAATTGGACCGACGAGAGACAATTACAAAAAAAAAAAAAGTAGGCAAATAAAATATCTTTAAACGCGAAAAAATTTAAAGCTAAATAAATTACATTTAAAACAAATATTTTCGAAACATCGCTCTTTTATAATTTTTTTATAAAATTAAGCATTGTTTTTTATAGAAACATCAACTTTTTATAGAAACATACAACCGTCAACTTAAATGATTGTTTAAAAGGAAAACAAATATTCTTTATTTAACTAAGTTTGCAAGTTTTAGTTTTACTTAAGCTTAATTTATTTTATAAATAAAAAAGTTAATTTTTTCAATACCTATTTTATGTTTCGCGTAGTTTGAAAAGTTTAACATATTTAAAGCGATTCTTCTTAGTAAGATAAACAAATGAAATAATTAAATCATTGAATTACTATAAGAATTAAATTATCAAGATAGAAATCAACTAAAAAGGTTAAAAATACTTAATGACCAGGAAGCGAAACTGCTTCACAATATCGCTGATGATGTTTAGTGAGTGGGCTTTTAAATTTTAATTAGTGTTTAAAGCAGAAAAAAGTATAACGAGTTTTAAGAATGGCAACTTAAGCAAAAATAATTAGAGTTAGTAAATCAATATCTAGAAATTTTTCTTTATATCTAATTATTTGCTATATATATATTTGTGTTCTGTCGTGACCTCAGGCGCGATGCTTGTTCATCCGCGAGTTACTTTGTATGCGTTGTTTGTGTTTAGTAACCAGAAACTTCTTATATGTTTGTTACATAATTAGTTTTATTAACTTTAACGATTAAAACTTCATTAAAAACACAATTATTTTTGTAAGTCTTTGTTTAAATCATAAAAATTGCTTTAAAAGATACATTACGATAAAAAATAAATACACAAAATTACATTTACATAAAGACTACAATCTCTTTTAAAATAAAAAATAAGAATATACTAATAAAATCTATGATTTATAATAAACTTTGAAAATTTTAACAATTTAACTAATATATATTTAAAACATTTATTTTCGTAAACAAATAA